GGTTGTGGGCTTGATCGATGACTCATCATTGATGGTTCTGTCTCTCTCTCTCCCTCTTGTTTCCTCTCTCTCTGAAATCAATAAAGATATATTTAAAAAAAAAAAAAAGACTACTTGAGTAGAAGATATTTTTAAAGAAGCATGACTTTGGAGGATACCCTTGACATTTCATGTTCCCAGTGCACCCAAGGATTCCTTCACTGTTCCACAAGTCAGCTTCTCTCCACTTCCAAATATTGCCTCACCTCACACGTGTCTTAACCACTTGAACTCTGGCTTCTGTCTAAACACCTATGAAGCTTCTCTCTCTGAAATCATTAGACATCTTGCTTGCTAAATCCAAATCACTCCTTGTACAATTCCACTTTGTAGATTGTGTCTTTGTTCTTGAAATTCACTCCTCTTTTCTTTCCTGGCTGCTCAGAATCAGACTCCCTATTCTAGGTCTTGCCCCTAAAATGTTATACAGGTGTCTACATATACTAAATTTATTTTGCTAATTTGGATGTCTTCATTGAACAATAGGCCTTTATATCTCTCTCCCTACCATGATGTGAGATACAACATTTATCTTCCCAAACAATGTTGCTTTTCTTCTAGTGTCCTATATTTCAGTAAATGACACTAAGATACACCTTGTTCCTCAGGTAAAAAGTCAAGAATATGTTTGTTTTTCCTTCCTCACTGTTCCCCTCCCTTAATCCGTCATTCAGTCCCATTAAATCTACATCCAGAAATATCTCATGGATCTCTTTACTGCTATCCATCACCTCTGCTGTTACTCTTTGCTATTACAAATAATGTCACAACGAATAAACCTTTATATATTATTTCATATATGGAAGATGTATAATAGAATAGATTACAAGAAATGAGATGACCAGAAAAAAGTATAAATAACTTTGTATTTTGGTAGGCATCACCAGCTCCCTCTCCCCCCCATACATGTTGGATATGACTAGATAGAAAGCTTTTTTATGATAGCATATCACACCAGTGAGGAGATATATACATGTATGTTATACTGTAGTATGTATATATCATATGAGACCACAGTACTTAATCTAGTCGGTCATTTGGCCAAAAATAAAGTTGAATCCATACCTCATGCAGAACACCACAGAAAATTCCAAACTGATGAAAGATTTAACTATAGCATCTGACAACATACAGATAATAGAAGAAAACATGATAAATTTCTATTTAAATTTGGAGTCAAGAAGACCTATTTATGGCTCACATTTTAGAAGCCACTTATTAAAATTGAGAAAATCAATTATATTAAAACACACAGACACAAACACACTTGTCCATGGAAGAAAACTATATTAAAGTAAAAGGCAACTGACAAAGTGGAAATTTTTTTTTCAGATCATATTTTCAAAAGTTAATCTAATATATAAAGTGCTCTTCTAAATCAACATGGACATGAAAAATTCCCATAAAGTAATAAAAACAGCCCATACAAGTATTTCAGCCTCATTCATAGTAAGAAAAGAAGAATTTAAAACTACGTTGATCAGTCATTTCTTATTGGGCAAACATCCAAAAGTCTGACAGCATACTGTGTAGGCAAGAATGTGAAGAAATAGAAACTCTCGTAGATAGTTGGTGAATGAAAACAAAAAGTTACTACCATTAAGAGCTGCATACAGTTACATCAAATGCAAATTGAACCTGTTTTATCTTCCTTTCCAATTTGTATCCATTTAACATCTTTCAGTTTCCACATTGCTTTATTTTTATTATTGATACTTTTTATAGGATCTTTCAATATGTGCTAGGGCTAATATCTTTTCATTGTTTTCTTTTTCATAATTTTCCAGTCTATTCTTAATTATTGATATTTTCTTATGACCTTTTAAATCAGCTTGTCTAGTTCCAGAAAAAATATTGTTGGGATTTTTTTAGGACCATACAATTTATAACAGTAAAAATTGATATATTTATGTTGTTTATTTTCCTTTTCAAAATAAAGACATATCTTTGTGCAAGTCTACTTCTGCACCCTTCAGAAATATTTTCAGATTTTTCTCAAATATGTTTTACATGTTTCTTGTTAAGTTTACTCCCTGGGATTCTATTTTATTGCTTTTGAAAATGATTTCTTCTCTTCCATTACATTATTTAAGTGGTTTTATTTATGTGTATGAATACTAATGATTTCTATATTTTAATTGTTATTGCTGCTCTTTTACTGAAATTCTCTTGTTGTATTATAACAATTTGTTGGTTGATTTGCTGGGGTTTTCCAGGCAAATAGTCATATCAAGTGCAAATAGAGATTTATTTTANAAATTCTCTTGTTGTATTATAACAATTTGTTGGTTGATTTGCTGGGGTTTTCCAGGCAAATAGTCATATCAAATGCAAATAGAGATTTATTTTACTTNTTGTTGTATTATAACAATTTGTTGGTTGATTTGCTGGGGTTTTCCAGGCAAATAGTCATATCAAGTGCAAATAGAGATTTATTTTACTTCTTTTCCAATTCATATGCCATCCTCTTGCCTGGTATACTTTAATGTAATGTTAACTGTAAATAATGACTTTGGAAAGTCTGCCTTCTGATTTAGCATGGCTACCATTTGTGCTTTCCCATTGATATTGTGATTATAATGCAATATAAAAACCATATTGAAGAAGTAGTTATCGATTCCTATTTTGGAGCCTTTTAAGAAAAATCTAAGAATGGTTATTGAATTTGATAGACTGTCTTTCAGCATCTATGGTGTTGATCACATGCCAGCCTTATGTTAATTACTGGCGTGAGGTTCCTAGACCAAGCAAGTGATGAATGTGTGTCACAGATCCATGCGAGGGCCAGTTTACCCCTACAATGAAGGCTTTGCCCTTGAGCCCCTGGTTAATGTGGGCAACTTTTGTATTAGATCTAAGGTGGACCTGTGTTTTTATTTCATTCTTTTCTAGCAAATTAAAAAAACCAGAGTAAAATCTTTTCAGATCAGAAGTCATTTCTGGTTACTACTCTGTGTCCCTGCTTCATCTTGTTTTTGCCTAGCAGTTCCTTACTAGATGTTTTAGGATGTCTACAAACACACAAAAGTATTGGTTATTTTCAATTTTGACATGGGGGGTTTGTCTGAATGACCTAGCTGCCATTATTGGAAATAGAAATTGTTCCTCTGATCCATTCTTCACACTAGTCAGACTTGTCTTATTCAAATCGAAAGCTTCTTATGTAATTTATTTGCTTAAAACAAATCTTTGTCTTACTGTCTTTAGGAAATAAGATCCATATATTTTGTTCATGCTATTCCACACCTACTTTTCTGAATACATGTTAATCTTCTGTTCCTCTCGTGCTGTACGCATCAGCTATTCCGGATTTTCACGTTCAGGCCTGTCTCTGAGCCTTTGCCTATGCCATTTCTCTGTTTGGAACATTTAAACTCTGCCTCTTCTTGACATGGATAACTCGTAGCCACTCTTCAGGAGACCTTATCGGGGCCTTACACGAGGCTAGTTTCCCTGCTCTCCCACAGCACCCTGGACTTCCCTATTATAGCATTTACCCTACTTGACTGAAATTGCAAATATGCCTTACTCTTGAATTGAGTGTTTAGTGAAGATCATTTATTTCTCTGTGTCTGACACATAGTAGAGATTCAATAAATATTTGCTGAATGCATGAAGGAATGGATGCGTAGGACACTTACCAAAGTATTGTCTTAATTCATTCTTGCCTTTTCCCCTGTTTTTACCTTAGTCCAAGTTGCCATCCACCCTCTTAGATTCCTCCTATAGCTTCCAAACTTGTTTCCTTCCTAGTCTATTAGCCACCAGAATGATTCTGTATAAATGCTTGTCAGATTATGCTTTTCTGAATCTTCTAACTCTGATGCTACTTCTCTGTGCACTCAGAATAAAGTCTGCACTCCTTCGTATGGCCTTTTAGACCCTACGTGATATGCCCCTGATTGTCTCTTTAATATTGTCTCTTATCACTCTTCCCTCACTGTGCTCTACTATGATGATGACCTTCACTTTGTTCCTCTCCGACACAGGTACAGTCCCCTTCCAGGGCCTGTGTTCTGGTTTTGTCCACCTGGAAAACTCTTCCATTGGTGAACTGGTTTGCTTCCTCATTTCATTCAAGCTTCTGGCCTTCCCTTTGTCACCTCTCTCCCTGTCTTATTTTTCTCATAACATTATGTGACCTTTCTCAANTGGTTTGCTTCCTCATTTCATTCAAGCTTCTGGCCTTCCCTTTGTCACCTCTCTCCCTGTCTTATTTTTCTCATAACAGTTATCTTTTNGTCACCTCTCTCCCTGTCTTATTTTTCTCATAACATTATGTGACCTTTCTCAAGGCATTATGTGACCTTCGTGCACTTGTGTATTATTTTTTGTCTTTCATCATAATGTCATCTCCATGAGGTCAAGGACTTTGCTTTGTTCATTGCTGTAGCCTTTGAACACTGCCTAGCACCTAGTAAGCTAAGTGTTGGTTGACTGAGTAAGTGGATGTATGCTTTCAGTCACCTTGAGCTGGAATCTCAGTCATTGGGCTCTACTGGTTTCTCTCGACTATGCAGCCAGTGACAATTCCTCTCATCTTTTAATTTCCAGTTCAAATACACTCTCTTCATTGTGTCCATCCCCTGTTTCCAAATGAAATATAAGCCCTGCTTTACCTGATTCTTCATATGTAATTAAAATTAGATAAAGGTTCTTTAATGTGGATTGGAAGTCAGTTTTTTTAATCCAGATTTTGCTGATTTTAATTTATGTTTATAGACTTTGTAAGTAGTGATGTAAATGTTAGTTTTACCTATCTTGCATTTGGTCAAACCATAGAAGAAAAATTGTGAATCTTTCAGAAGCATCCGTTGTAAAATTTCAGAGGGAACAGAATTAAATTCCAGTGTGTTCAAATATATATTGAATTGGAATTGGTTCACCATAAATCACTAACTCATTTTAAAAAATTAAGTAAAATATTTTCTGAAATGACCTTAACTCTCATTTATGAGAAGATGCGCCTTCAAAATAAGTTTGTATTTCGAAGTCATGCACTTGTTCCCGTGAGGTATTACATAAATACTTTCCAAATCACTCGACAACAATGAGTTAATGCTACTCTTTAAAAGCACTGGGGTTTTATTTAGGCTATTATTGATTTGGTACCACAGCTCATTTGGTCACTTGACAATTGAAACATGTTGCTGGCTCATTAAACTTGTTTTTGTTTCTCTTTTCTGTTTACACACCTGTGCTGCCTTCCTAATGGTTTCAGTGCTTTCTTGCATAGCTTGTTATTGGTTCCTCAATGTGCCTACTCAATTTGGGAAACTACTGTTGACTTTATTTTATAGAATAGGAGACGAGGCCCGAGAAGGTAAGGAATTCTCTGAGTTTACCTTCTCTGTGAAGGAGTGAGCCATGACTCTTAGTTTATTATTTTATTCTCCTCGATAAATTTTTTCTGATTTTTTTAACTCCAATGTAATTTTTTATGTTATTTTGTTCATTATATAAACTGATTTATAGTTATACAAATTTACAATTTATAGAAACTATATGTACATTAAAAGTATTTTTTAATGCATAATGAATTGATTTTTTAGATATTAACATTTGCCTGTGATGCCTGCAAACAAGTGACACTACATGTTCCCTCTGAACTAGAAGCTGAAAAATTTGTTGGAAGAGGTAAGGATTATGTTAAATATGCCAAAATGTGTAAAATCCTAATTTTTATGATCTTGTAAAATTAGTGCAACTTTTGGAGGGGTAACTGCACTGAAACTAAGAGTTAGAACTAATATAGTACATTATCATTTATAATGCATATGGTATCATTCCAATGAAAAGAATATTTTTTTTTTTATTGAAAAACATGATTATAGGAAATAGACAAAATGTCTACTTTGAGTTACAAAATTGTTAATATTTACATTAATTGAAGGATATGGTGTATGTTTTAACATGTTTCTGTGAAATTGAGAAATAGTATTGAAACTGTTTCTTAAGTTTAATTGTATTGTTTTTAGATTTTTGTCCTAAAACATTTTGGTATCTTACTGACATTGACTTTTACATACTGTTTTTTCAGTAATTATTTTTTTTTACATAACTCAACTATGTAAGAAAATCAGACCAATGAGAATATAGAAAATGATGATTATTTAATAATAGACATAAATAGTTCAATACTATCTTAATTCAATAACTGCCCATTTTAATTTTCTAGATTTTATATAACTTACTTCAAATGTATTCATTTCAGTTAATAAAGAAAAACTTTTTTTGGAGTTGGTTTAAATATTCAAACAATGGTGTTTGCATATGCCTTTAGTTCAAGACAAATGTCTCTTCTTTAAAAGGATGTAGTACAGGTATTAGAAGTGATGTATGTGTTATTTGTGTTTAGCACAACTTGATCATAGAATTTCATATCGTCTTTTCAAAATGAAACATTCACAAGTGTCAGTGTAGTTAATTTTAAGTTTTGTCCCCCCATTCATATATTATTATTAAAACTATATATTGGTATATTTTCCCTTACAAACGATTGCTGTGTGTATTTTTTTTTACAGTTAACCTGAAGGAGTGCTTTAAGTCTGCAAATCTAATTCATTCAAGTGACCCTGATTTCCAAATTTTAGAAGATGGTTCCGTCTACACAATAAATGCTGTTCTTTTTTCCTCTGAGAAGAGAAATTTTACCATATCACTTTCCAACACTGAGAACCATGAAGAAAAGAAAATACGTGTGCTTTTAGAGCATGAAACAAAGGTATACCAAACTACAAAATGAAGTATAATGAAGTATTTTCTTCAGGTGTAACTAACATTACCAGGGAAGATGTGGAATCAGAAAGGATATGGGATAGTTTAGCTTGAAGAAGAATGAAAACCACGATACAATTTCATGTGTTTAAATGGAAGGGATTGTGCAACGTAGGTTATGTAGAGGTTGTAATTCCTTTTCCTTTGGGACATAAAAAGACAACTTGAGATACGCTACAGTGTAAGAGCTTGAGATGAGACACAGAGGAGCATCTTTTGATCTTTACTGTAGAACAGATTTTTAAAAACAAGTGTTGAAACTCTGTATCTGAAGGCGTCATGTTATCTTAGACAGCATAATTTGTAATTTTAGGAAGTAGATAACTATTTTAGGTTCAGGTTTGGACCTCACCCATGCTTATTACATTGTGACACCCAAGACAAAAGTGACTTCTGTTCAACCACTGTCCATTACTCACTGTGGCAGTTTGATAGTGGTCACCACGTTTCTCTCCTCCTTCGACAGAGATCTCTCTGTGGGTTCCCTGGCTCTTCCTAGTTGTTGGTGAGTGGAAGATGCTTATACTAAACTTAGAGGGGCATATAGTCTACTTATTTTTCTCTCACATCTCTCCTTCCATGTTTTTGCATGGCAATGTGGCAAAAGTCATTTTTTTTTTTTCCTGTTTTGCTTCTAGACTTAAAATTTCATCTCTCTTTCCTCCATATGCCCATCAAGTTATTTGCTCAAGAGGATTGCTTCGTGATAACAGTTAGGGCAGTTATTTCTTCATTATCTTTCTGCGGTGTTGATGTTTCATTTTATTTTCAAGCACTATCACGGTCATACACCTCCCCAGCTAATCCTCATGAGAGGAGAAAGATGTGTTAATGTTCTAATGTTTGAGAATAAAATGATCGTTGACTTTATTTCTTTTTCTAAATTGAGGTACTAAAGCAAAGTCATTCTAAAGAAAAAGTTCTAAGACGAGCCAAGAGAAGATGGGCTCCAATTCCTTGCTCAATGATGGAGAATTCCTTGGGTCCTTTCCCATTTTTTCTTCAACAGGTACAACTTACTTTCTTTCCCTTGTGAAGGTCTATGGTTTCTATCTTTTTTTTTTTTTTTTTTTT